CCCTTACTATCAGTCCTGAGAGACACGTACGTGGACCTGCACAGAACAAGACAGGTGGTCCACTTCAGTTTGTGCTCACTCTTGCTTGAAGGGCTGTATTTCTTTAGTCTTCCTGTTGTTCTTACAGAAGCTGTACTCAAAGCTGGTACTCAAAGCACAGTGCGATGTGGATGCACTGAGGCTTTAGTCACTAAAGCCTCAGTGCATCCACATCGCACTAAACTAGGAAGCACACCTAGGGGATCATGTTAATGATGTTTAATTGGTGAGGCAGTTAGTTTGTGAGCATTCTGGCATACATGAAATGTTTGTGTTCCGCTTGCCTGGATCCATATATTAAGTGGTTATACAACACTCTTTCTACAGAGGGGAGTTTTCTTCTCCACCTTCGCAGGATAGAGAGTTCTCGCCGCCAGGACTTGGTGGTTCCTCCCAGAAGCCCAGTCAAGCATCCTTAATACGCCTCCACTGGGCTTTGTGGCGGCATGCTCTCTTCCTCAGTTGCTCTGGGAAACAAAGGTTTATTATTACGCATGATTTGCTCTCATTGGCCTCCTCCATCTCCTGCTTTCACTGCATTTGAAAAATTAGCACTCATGCACTTAGCATACTACTTCGTCTTGTAGCTGAATTAATAATGAGAAATGTTTTTGCCTACAAGCTCTTACAAGACTTTCCTTCCTGTACGCATGTGTCCGTTATTAAGAGCGGCGGTTTCATGGATGGAGAGTAAACTGTCTGTCATGGGAGTGGAACTGTTTGCACGTTAAATATAGTATGTAATATCCAGCCCACTTAGCCTGTAGGCTTCTGTCAAGCGTGATTAGGAAGGAGAGGAAATGCTGGTGCTGTAATGCAGGGCGTTGTGTTTTTATGTGCGGGGAAATCCAGCCTTCTCTCTTCTCATAAAAGCATGCTGGAGTTATTTGTTATGATAATGATGTTACTGATAGATGTGGAACTGTGAATCTGTACTTTTTAGCCTCCCGTCTGTGTGATGGTGCACTTTGGGATTGTGAGAGATGTTGCCTGCGCAGAGTTGTGCATCGCTACACTTCCTCTCCACGCTGCAAGGCTTGATTTCAGCAGAAACATCCCTGATGGCAAACTCCAGCACACCTCACAGCAGCCTCTTCACTCTCGCTCACTCGGCTCGCTCTCTGACATAAACAAAACACTAATACGGCGAATTCTCTTTTCAGAAGCTGTTTTCTGTCTGCAGTTTTCTCCCAACTGAGTTGCCATTCCTACGCACTGATAGACTGGAGGCGCTTGCAATTTATCTCTTTTACAGCTGTTGGTGCACGAGCGTGCGCGCACTGACGTTCTTGTGACTGTGCATCAGGTTCTTAGGCATCACACGAGGAGGTAAACAGACTAATTAAATCCACCGGCAGTCCCCGGTGAATGCCGCTCTCCATCCATTGTTGTCGTCTCATCGCTGTGGCACGGCGAGGGACTCCTCATTAATTCGATTCAAGGTGTATGCAGGGGAAAGGGTGTGATTTAACTCGCCAACGATGACGATGCCGGAGGACAGCTCCCACCTCGTAAAGCCTCTGAGAGAGAGATTTGGAGATGTCCTTGGGCATCTGCTCACGTTGAGCTTGAACAAATTCTTAGTGTGAATTTAAAATTTTAGGGCACAGATGTCATACTGGGGGGATTTTGTAAATCCATTTATAAGTGTAAGATGGGTATAATTGGA